CCTAAGAAAGGATTTTTTTTTTTGAAATGACCATCAAATCATTAGTATTTCTTATACAGTAATTAACACACTGTGATGTTAAGGAGTTCTACTCCCCCTCCCCACCTGAAAAGAACTCTGTTCCAACTGCCAGTTGCCTCACATTCCGTTACCTCAGTTCAAACTGGCAGACGTTCCACTCCGTCACTCAGAAGCGGTCTGGGGCTCCTTACAGCATGAAACGTCAGTACCTCACCAAAATGTCTACACCTTCCACCTATGGAACTGCTTCCGGACTCAAGGCATCGGGACCGATATTCCCTTATGTCTTTCAATCACTTACCACCACTGACCCAATTTCTCCTACTGAGCCTGATCACATGGTTTTGTCGCGAAGCACAGGTATCCAGCTAGTATCTAATATAGCAAGGCAGAAACTCCTGGAGGAAGAACATCTAAAAAAACATCTAACACCGTGTTTCTATAGACTCGTCCAAACAAAACTGGCACTTAACAGGGATTGGATCTCAACCATCCTTTCTGTAAGCAATCCGGGATGCTTTATGTGGTTCTAAGGCTTTCCTCTACTTACCCATTGCTGCCCATATGAATCCTCCAAGTCATTGACTGACCGGTCGTCCCAATTAAGGCGGATGCCAACCAGAACAGGGGGCAGGAACCCATTCTCAGCCAAGATCACAAAATAGGAGAAAAACCCTCCCAGAGCCTGAATCATTCCTGCAAAGGAATTTTGAGAGTTGAGGAAATCTTTTCTCGACCTCAACAACTTTAAGACTTCTTAGAACTCCCAGGTTCCCCCAGCCAGCCGTGCTAAAAGTTTATTGTACTCTGATAAGTAACAACTCAATGTTTCTGTTGTTGTTGTTGTTATTATTATTGTCACTAAAATGTTGTTATTATTCCTGTATTCCTGAGAGCCTTGGTGGCGCAGTGGTCAGGGTGCAGTACTGCAGGCTACTTCTGCTGACTGCCGGCTGCCTGCAATTTGCAGATCGAATCCCACCGGGATCAAGGTTGATTCAGCTTTTCCGTCCTTCCGAGGGAGGTAAAATGAGGACCCAGATTGTTGGGGGCAAGAGGCTGGCTCTGTAAACTGCTTAGAGAGGGCTGTAAAAGCACTGTGAAGCGGTATATAAGTCTAAGTGCTATTGGTGTTTAAGCTACGCACTCAGTGTTTCTGTAGTTTTGACTGATGAGACTTTTATATTTTACAAACTTGCAGATTTGTGTTAATCCCTGAGGAGAAAGGTTTGGTTTCGGGGCTTATAAAGAGCCGAGGTGGCGCAGTGGTTAAATGCAGCACTGCAGGCTACTTCAGCTGATTGCAGTTCTGCAGTTTGGCTGTTCAAATCTCACATATTTGGCGATAAAGCCAATGAGGT